ATAATAAAGTTTATAAAATATGTTTTTAAGAATATATTTTATAAGCAAAATATACCTCATATCATTAATAAATTATTGTTTTATTTAAAAAATACTAAATACAATTTAATTTTCCAGACAAATTTGCCTGGAATACAGTTTAAGGGATAATGAATAAAATTTTTTCTTTAAAGTAATTTCTATAAATAAAATTGTTATTATATCTGTTATTAATAAAAAGTTAATTTATATACTGTTATTATTTCAAATTGTTTATTTGTTGCTATATAGTAAAATGAACTACTATATTTTATTTTATATATATTTGCAATATTTAATCACTATACTGAATAATCTTGTTATTTAGTTGTATTGTTTCAAAAAATTACAACTCTAAAATAATAATTATAAAAACTTATTTTAAGTTTACATTACTTAATATTTGTTTGTATTTTTCTATATAATTAAAATTATATAGATGTTTTATAACTTATTAATTATATATCAAAAAAAAAAAACTTATTAATTATATTAATATAACTATAGTTATAAATATTTTATTTTAACTGATTAATAAAAATCAGTTATTATAATATAAATAATTTTTAAATTATTATTTTTGATAGGTTTTAAACTTACAATTTGTTACTTAAAAAAGTTACAATATATTTATAATATTAAGTTACAATATCTTTTAAATTAATTTAAATTTAATTAAATTAAATTTATTTTAATTTAATTTTAAGAATAAATATTCTTGTAACAATCTGTTACATATAACAACCTCAGATTAGCCAATAGTAATTAGAGTTAGGATTTGGGTTACATAAACTTTTGTTTATTTTTATTAGTCATACTAATTGAGTTATTACAAATAAGTATATAACAGATTGTTACAATTAGATTTAACTATTTTAATATATATACTAACTCTAAAATAATTAAAAATTAAAAAAATTTATATTATATAATATACAATTAAACCTTTTAATCATATTTTTTATAAATACAAAATTTTTTTAAATATATAATATAAGCTCAAATCTATAATTAAATCAATCAAAACTCTTTCTAATAATTATTTGAACCAAATTTTCCAAAAAACTGAACTACAGAAAAATAATATATTTAATATATTAAACTTTATGAAAATCTTTTTAGAGTACTGTACTTGCATTTTTGGACATTGAAATAGAATTAAAAAAGAGTCACAGCCTTGTGGTGATGGTTTAAAGAATGCTCTAGGACTATAGAAAAAGTAGTTAGTAAAAGCCAAGGTTTCTTATTAAGTAAATAATAAAGTTGAATATATTAGTTCTATATAACTATAAAATCTACAAAAAACACCTACAAGGATTCAGAACTTACAAAAGCTAAAAGTTGGTTCACCTAGCACTTCCATTTTTTTTCAAGAAAAATTTTGTAAAAGTGGGTAATTTAGTTTACCTTCTTCTAAAGATCGATATATAAAATTATCAAAACAGTTAGCAATGTTTACTTCCTAAACAAAATTGTTGATAATATAGATCAAAAATAATATAGTAATACAAACACAACTATACATGTGTCTTGAGCTACTAAAAATCTGTAAAATATTGCATTCAAACTAACTAGTATCCTATATCGACTCTCTATAATAAAGTCAAAGTTTTTTTCTTTTTTTTGGTTTTTTGTTTAAATAATCTAAGTAAATAAGAAGATAGTAAAGTAATTTCTATTTAGTATAGTTTATAATTTTTACAAGCCCAATATAAACTTATAATTATGATTGTTTGATATTTGTAAATTACAAGTTTTATGCTTAACACAGACTTAAAATCGTAATTATCTGATTTTTTATAAATTGCAAGTTTCATACTTTTCTTTTTTCTCATTTATCTTTTTTTTATTTTTTATTTTTTGTTTTGTATCTTTTATCGTTTACCTCTATACCTCTGTTTTTTTTATATATAAAATTTTTTTTTTTGTTTTTTTGCTTTCCTACAAGAAGACATCATCAGATTAGTGATATCCTATTGTAGGATGGCAGTCAGACAAGCAGTCTACCTCTGTTTAGAATAGTGCAGCAGATTGTACTTAGGTACCAATAAGGTGATCAGGAGATGCTAAACTTAGTTATTAAAAAAATTCTTTGTAATTTGTATAGTTTCAAGAATTCTAATAAAGTACTAGCATGGCTGCTTAAGTTAAAAAAAAAAAAAAAAATCTATAATCAGACTTATAAATAATTGCATATGCCTTATTTTGTAAACACATACTAATTATCTAACCTACTTATAAAACTTTTTTTATAAATGCATCTACATGATTATTAACTAATCAAATTCATTATTTACAAACTGCTAAAACCATATTTATGATTATTATGTAATAATAATCACATTGTAATTTGATTAGTATTTTTTAATTACAACCTTTTCTAAATGCATGTTCTAGAACTGGTCCCAACAACATGCATTTAAGAAGGTTTAACTGTAATTAGAAAATCTTGTTATATATAAAATAAAAATAAAATCAGTTGGAAAAAAGATTTTATATTATCAATTTTATTATTTGCACTATATTAATTATTAAAATTTTATTATTTTAAAATAAACTTATTTTTTTTTTAATTATAAGTTTAATTAAGAGGTTATTAAAATATTTTTAACTAAAAATTTTAAAATTTAGGCCATACGAACTTAATAAATCGGTTTTCATAACATAAAATTTTTAAAAGTGACCTGGCAACCCCGACTTTTAATTTTATTTTCAAAAATTATATATATAAAAAACATATATAATTTTTTAAAGAAACTCACACAGATAGTAAGTATACTTGAAATTTTTTTTTAGAGTTTTGTAAATTTTGACCCGGTCGGGTCATAAATAAAAAAATTAATAAAATTTTAGTAATTAGTATACATACGTACGTAGCATACGTAAATAGTAAAATTAATAATATAAACAGTAATATCCTAATTTATAGATATCTAACTATACTAAAAAAGATATTTTTAGCATAGTGAGTACGTAGTGTAAAAAAAAACGTACAAAAAAAATGAGAAATTTCAAGTTAGTATCATTTAGAAAAGCTTATATAATTAAACCTGGTTGATAAAGGCAAGCAACCGTTCTTGAATCAAATTTATTTTAAGGTATATAGCATGAAATCCACAAAATAACAAGTTCGGATACTTGCTAACAAATAAGTTTTTAGATTTTTTTTAGACATTTCGGCATAATTTGGAATTTTGGCATTATTTTAGAATTTCGGTAAACTAATTATCAAATGTCGAAATATTTTTACAAGTTCAATCCGATTTCGGCTAACAACATTAGTGGAGATATATCTAAGATTTGACTGTATATTATTTGGCATATTTAATTTTGTGTACTTGTTTTTATGCATTAATTATATACGTATAAATATCCAACAAAAGGAATTTAGTCCAATTAATTATTGTTATTCAAAAATATTTACGCTTGATGAATCACTGATCGATAAACCTTTTTTATTTTACACTTAATAAACAAAGATTTTCTTTACCACGTTATATGATGTAATTTTTCGAGAGAAAAATATCTAATAATAAATAGTTTTACAAATAAGGATGTAAACCGTTTGAAAATCAAATATAAATCAAATTAAGAGTATTGGAACTATTTGAACAGTTTAGCATTCCTATCTGTGCGCGTTACTACATTCTATGCCTGTTATTTAACTGGTTTGGGTTAACTAATAGACGTTACACGTCACACCCGAATATTATAATTTTGCTGGAACACGGCCTTCCTTTGCCTGTGTATGTTCAAATAGTTCTTTCATCTCATCTGCAGCCTCTCTAAGATAATGACACATTCGTTGATTATTCAAATGCATTGAAACAACATTAAAGCTAATCACATTGGCATTAATCTGATATGCAATGCCATAACCATCAGGAACTACTTCACCCCATCCATATCCGTCAAAATATTCTGATGAAAGTTGAGAAGTTGACAGAAACCAATGTGTTGACTTAATGTATGTAGGATCAGTAAAGATTGCTGGTTTTTCCTCTCCCGGTTTTAGAGACATACGAAGACCTTAGTGAAAATATATAAATAAATATACCTATTTAAAGTATGGCTATATATGGTTTTACGAATATTTTGCACTCACCAAATAAATGTCTGTCACAACCGCGTCCTTCAACAGCTTCGGACATGTATTTTACGTGTGATTGTATCGCCTTACGACCCAAGTCCGCCTTGACTTCTAACTTTACGCAGAATGCCTTTTTAAAATTGCTGTAATATATGTGATAATACTTTAAGATGATACTTACTGGAACTTTTGTATCTTCCATAGCTTTGACCCAATTAACAGAGTCAACTGATGTAGATCTACAAACTTCAGTTCTACCATGAGCAAATTTTCTGGTCTGAGCACTTTCATATGTTGATCTACTAACTCCATACATCTTGTAGTATGCTAATTGAATTATCATTTGTACATATGCATCTGGCGAAAATCCCAATTTCTTGATACCGTTTTTACCATAACCCTGGTAAGCTAATACTCGTAAATCATGCTTTGCAACAAGGGAATCGAAGTTACTTTCAGCCTTTGCGATAGCATCAAGAATATCATTGTTCAAAGTAAAATTAAGTCGCTCAGGTTCAGGTAGATTAGATCGAATGTTAGGAGAACCATGATTAATTTTGTTTTTGGCAATTGAGTCACAAACAAAATCATTTAATCTGGCCGTTGGTGTCCCGTCCATAGAAGAATGCTAGTATTAAAGAAAAACGTATTTTGTTTATTTATAAATTCTAAAATTTAAATTAATATATAGCAGATCGGACACTTACCTCACCGCAAAATCCAGCTTTTCCATTATCAAAAACTATAAATTGTAAAGACTTGTCAAAATAGCGATTACGACCATCTCCGACCCAGCAAGCGTGACTAATCTCATCCCGTGTAACTGGGGAAGTGTCATCTAAACAAAGAGCGAAAACTGAACTTTCTATCTTTTTCAATAATTGTTCATTTGAGCCTATAGCCAAGAGTAATTTTCGATACTAAAAAAATAATAAATAAATTCAACTTTAAACATATTATGGTGCTTGTAAAGAAAGTATATAGTATAACTCGATGTAACGAAGTATTGCTAGCTCAATTTATATGCACATATACGGAAACTATTTCAATTTAATAAAATCCTCGATATATCTAGGTTTTATGGCTTCGTTATATTGAGTTTATACTGTGTTGTGTAAAATAGAGTACAAACATCTGTCCAGTTATCTCTGTTTTCTGTGGTAAGAGCTCCGATTGCAGGATCCTTTGTATTACCAGCCAATTTATAAACCTTTCTTATTTGGCTAAAATAAGCATTCTAATAGATTAATAGTCAATCATTTACTATTGATGGTTTAAAAAAATAGATAAACATTAGATCTCCCACCTTTCTATTTCAGAAGTTGAAAGTTGTATACCATCCTTAACCAGATCTATAATGAAGAACTTGTTGTTTCGGATGACAGTCATATGATTATTGGTCGCAGGATCAAAGGTCAATTCAAAATCAGAAGGTTTATTCGGATAACGACAAGCATTAAACATCCATTTATATGAAGCCATGCAAAGAGGAAGTTTTTTTGCGTATTCTGGTTCTAATTGTTGTCTTTGAATTAAAATAAGATTCTATTAGTTTAAAACTTTAAGATTAAGGAAATTTTTCTTATGTAAGCAAAGTACACGCTTACTCAACGACGAGTCTTCGAAACTCCAAGGCGGCTGTAACAATGGCAGCAGCACGAGCTGCAGGGTCTTTACGAAGTTTGTCGTCTTTATAAGCAAAAAAATAGCTCACATAAACCACGGTCGGATCCCTATATCCGTAATATGCAGTCTCGTTCCACCAATCCTCAAGCCAATTAATTACATTAGGATTATTTGCTTTTTCCAAGAGCCTCTTGTGTAATTCTTCACCAATTCCACCAGGGTTCTGAAATTCTGTAACAATAGCTTTGGTTTTTGCGTATTCTTCTTCGTTAGTAAGTGCTCGGACACTCTTAAGATATTTTTCCAAAGTCTCGGAGAGTGCAGGAACGGGAAGCCTTGGAAGCGACTTTTGATAACGAAGCATTGGACCAGCAGCGGTATCCACGGGATATGGAATTGCTGGTTTGTTCGGAATTGAAGGAGCAGCGGCGGCAACGTAATTTCTTCGAAACATATTAAAGACCTAATAGGATCGGGAGCTTTTAGAATAGCTCTTTAACATAAAAATTCAACACAGTTATCAAACTATTGTTACCTGCTGCCTTTGTTGATTACTTCTAGTAATAAAGCGCATGAGATTTAGCTTATATGACGTAAAAAGTAGCTTTCAGAGAGTATATATATCGATATTTAACCAACATTAGTAAGTAAGATTATCAAAGATCATGCGCATAGATATTTAATCAACTATGTAGATCAATGCTATTTATTTAATTAAATTCTTACTAATCATATTTACACACGTGCCGCCCCGGTTTGCCAAATTACTGTAGAAAATCATATGATTTGTCAATTCATCATGATTAGATCATGATAATAATATTTATTAAAAATATTTACATAATTGCAAATAAAAAAGAGTGAATAGTGTATAGTTCATGAAATGACAAGCAACTATATAAAATGATTTAGTAGATTTTTTTTCTTCGATTCTTTAAGATGAAAAGCAATCGTTAAAAGCATAAAATCCAATAATACACTATTCTAAAAAATATATGTTGATTGCCGTAAACCAAATTTCCGAAAAAAGAATGAAATTCGAAATAAAATTATAAAATTATAAAAACTAAGAAAATGCAATTGAACCAGAAAATCTCGTAGATTTAATTTTTAATGCGCTTCCGGAAGATTATACTCTGAATCCAAGACGCAACAACAAAAAATTATTGAAGAAAACAAATAGTAACAAATGGCTCGATAGTATTAATAACCATTGCATAAATTGGATGATGATGAATATTCCAAATACTGTAATCATAATACTTTCGAAATTTAAGCTCGTTCATGATGGTGAAACATAAATTTGCCGAATTTGGGGGAACACTAAAGCCTTGTACGTACCCACGTTTTAGAGGGTTAATTTAGTGTTATGGTAAGGGTATGCATATAGATAAAATTGCCTTCCCAGCATTTTTTATTAATACACCAAGACTCATTTTTTGCGTTTTTTTTTTGATTTTTTAACTTTGGGTTGACCGTATAAACAAATTTCATGATTTTTATTGGCGGATCTACACATAAAAAGTCACGTGGGTACAAGGCTTTAGCGAACCCCCGAATTTTCCGAAATTTTATAAATAACTTTTAAGCTCTTGATCTTGTTCTTGAAGATGCTTAGCGGGATTTAATAACTATTCATAAATTTAGAGCTAAGTTTTTTAACAAAATGATCAGTTTAGCATAATTTCCGAGATATAGTTTTAAGATCTTTTTTATTTTTTACTTTTTTTTTTTGTTTTCGGATTTTTACCGCCCAGATGAATCGATAATCATTAAAATTAAAGACGTTCAACCGTTACGTGCAATATTTTGTTTTCGCTAAGCCAATCATTTACTGCCTAATTTTTTTTAATTCAAGTTGTGATATGCGGTCCTACTAAATTTGCACTTACTGCTCAGATTAGCTAATATTATAAACTAGATTTACAGTTGTTTTCAAAAAGGTGTGAACAATGATTCCCTCATGCCTATGTGAGAAATCGAAGAATCAGGAAATTCTGATTAGTGCAGCGGTTTGCAAAAGGTATGATCCCACAATTTTCGTGATAACAATAGTGGAGAATTTCTAAGATCCTAGATTTTCTATAAATCATATATTCGATATCTATATGGTATAATTCTCTTAGAATCGAAAAATCGTCTAAATTTCCCGCGATTTTATGCTACACGATGATCTGCAGAGGTCACACCTTTTTGCAGACCGCAGAAATTTCGTAAGTACTCCGTTGACTATTTTATAGCCGTTTTCAAAAAGGTGTGATCACCGTATCCCAGATTTCCAGAATTTTCAAAGCCAGTGCTAATCGGACATTCAATTTTTTACTAATCAGAATTTCCCGATTCTTCGATTTCCCACATAGGTATGTAGAAATCGTTGTTCACACCTTTTTGATAATAGCTGTAATAGTAATACTCTGGAGTATTCCTATTAAAATGGAGTCCCTTGCTACGGTACAACATTTCACGTGATTTATAGGCATAACATCGGCCTGAGTTAGAGCTAACGTAATGCCGGTCATTGTTGTGCGTGAAATGTTGTGCCCGTAGCAATCCCCTTTGAAAACAGCTATAATAATTATTTAATTTCCTCGTGATTTAATCCAATTTTTCTTGCCCCGAATGGCATTAAGGCTTTGTTGTGCCATTATGGTTTACGGTTTTACCAATAATGATTACAGTGATACTGGTAACTTAACTATTTAAAGTTTATTTTAAAGTTGATATTTATTAGAGTAATGTTAAAGGGCTATAGTTATACCGAAATTCAAGAGAACATGTAAAAAAATCCCCGCGAGAAACACATAAATGTGCATGTGATGTGCCGTGTTTCATGGATGTTCCTATATGTTTAGAGTCTTAAATCAAAAATTTATTTGCTCTTTTATTGCTTATTCACAATATACTCATAGATATAATGTCTCTTTTTAGTTTATTCAAAAACTTTATTTAATATACAGTCATGCTCTCATATATATAATCACCCAATTTACCTAACACTTTTTGGTGATTATATAGAGGGAGATTAAATAGAAATACTTCTATATTATCACATAATATAAAATAATATACATAATGTGATTTTAGAAAGGTAATTAAAAAATTCATTAATTTTTATTATAGCAAACTTTTAAACATTAAAAATTATTTAAAACTTCAATGTATACTGTATAATAAAGTTAATTTTAAACCTAATTTATAAAAAAATCTTTTTAATATATATATATTTTTTTGGTATAAGGTGATTACTTTGGTCTTTTGACTTTTTATTAACAACTTTTTTGGTAATATGATTTAATGAATCACTACAGGAGAGTGTACAATTGGTTACATGTATAATTTTTCTATATTACCTATTTAAGAAGTTTATTCAAAGATTTCTTACCAAGTGCTATATCTAACACTTCTGCTTGAATGTTTCATTTTAAACCTTCTGAACCTGCAACCTGTGTTAACATTACTAGGTCATAACCAGATATTCAAATTATCATCTTAACCTTAGAATTATTTTATCCTTGAAGAAATCTTCTCAAAGTTTTTTGTACTTATTTTTATAGTTGATCTATTATTTTTATAATAAAATTAATATTTGCAATTAGAGTTATATTATTTAACTATTATGTTTTTATAAAGTTCACTCAAACCCTAATATCTACTAAACCCTAATATCTACTTTATAGCATAATTTTAGTATTTTAGTATATTCTTGTTTTTTTATTAGATTTATAATTCAGATAATCTGTATAAGATTATGATCAGTTTATTGATATATCAGATCAGTCTGATATCTTTTTTTTTGATTTATTCTAATGACCTAATTGGTAATATCTTCAAGATTTCCAACCAGAGATTATTGCTTGTTTGTATACTATAATCTTGATATCTGTTTTCTTAAACTAGTCTTTATAGTGGAGTCATCAAAAATCTGACTATTTTTTTATTCAGGTTTTCTCAAATAAATTTTTTGTTATTTAATTTTAATAAATTTACATAGTTACAAGAATTTATCTAATGTTTGTACTATCTAATTGTTAGTTTGCATTTCTTTATATAACATCATACTTATACAAATGCCTTATGACCTGTTAGTCATATTGGTGCAATTACTATTACAAAATTCTAATCTAATTATTAGTAACAGTTATTATAATATAAATATTACATAAGTGATTATCTAAATTTTTATTGTTAATAAAATTTGAACACTCAATCTATCACTTAAGAGATTGATAATTTAATTATTTTACTAGGTCACTATGTCTTTTCTTTTAACATAATTAATTTACTAGTAGATACTAATTTAATAAATTTTTCTATTTTAATCTTAAATATTATAATACTAATAAAATTAAAAATATTTATTATATTAAATAATATAATTTGAACTGCTATATGAATTACTATTTAACAATACAAACTCTTCCCTGTAGATCCCTCGACCAAAAACTCTAGGAAAGAAAACATAGAAAAACTCAGTAACTAGACTAGG